TATTGGGATGATGGGGGGGGGGGGGGGGGGGGTTCTGTTATACTGATCGCCCTCTTGTGGCCAAATGAGGTATTTTCTGTTTTAATTCAATGAGAAACATTCCACCATGTCAGGAAAAAGACAAACATTATGTATCTTTGTACTAATTATCTATCTCTTATAGTTATTTATACTGTATCTGATAGTTACAGCATCTCTTTATATCTTCTATCAATTAAGCTGTATTATTTTATTTATTTCATTTACTTATATAGCGCCATCAATTTATGCAGTGCTTTACATATATATTGTACATTCACATTAGTTCCTAACCCTCAAGGGGCGTACAATCTAAGGTCCCTAACTCACATTCATACATACACATACTAGGGACAATATAGACAGGATCCAATTCACCTACCAGCATGTCTTTGGAGTGTGGGAGGAAACCGAATTACCCGGAGGAAACCCACGCAGGCACAGGGAGAACATGCAAACTCCAATCAGGTGGTGCCGTGGTTGGGATTTGAACGGACGACCCCCCCAGTACTGCCAGGCAGAAGTGCTAATCATTTAGCCACTGTGCAGCCCTATGTATTAAACAGTCCTAGTAGTGTATTACTATTATTATTATTATATCGGATTTATAGTTTCAACAATTTGCACAACAATCTATCAAGTGATCTACTGTATCTATGAAACTATTTATATAAACTGCATATCTATCTATCTATCTATCTATCTATCTATCTATCTATTATCTATCTATCTATCTATCTATCTATCATCTATCTATCTATCTATCTATCTATCTATCTATCTATCTATTATCTATCTATCTATCTATCTATCTATCTATCTATCTATCTATCTATTATCTATCTATCTATCTATCTATCTATCTATTATCTATCTATCTATCTATCTATCTATCTATCTATCTATCTATTATCTATCTATCTATTATCTATCTATCTATCTATCTATCTATCTATCTATCTATCTATCTATCTATCTATCTATCTATTATCTATCTATCTATCTATCTATCTATCTATCTATCTATTATCTATCTATCTATCTATCTATCTATTATCTATCTATTATCTATCTATCTATCTATCTATCTATCTATCTATCTATCTATCTATCTATTATCTATCTATCTATCTATCTATCTATCTATCTATCTATCTATTATCTATCTATCATCTATCTATTATCTATCTATCTATCTATCTATCTATCTATCTATCTATCTATCTATCTATCTATCTATCTATTATCTATCTATCTATCTATCTATCTATCTATCTATCATCTCTATCTATTATCTATCTATCTATCTATCTATCTATCTATCTATCATCTATCTATTATCATGCAGGATTTATATAGAGCCAACAGTTTGTGCAGCGCTTTACAATATAAGGGAGACATTTCAGTACAGAAGGAATAGGAGGACCCTGATCGTGGAGCTTACAATCTATCTATCTATCTATGATCTACAGGTGAAACTCAAAAAATTAGAATATGGTGCAAAAGTTCATTTATTTCAGTAATGCAACTTAAAAGGTGAAACTAATATATGAGATAGACTCATTACATGCAAAGCAAGATAGTTCAAGCCGTGATTTGTCATCATTGTGATGATTATGGCTTACAGCTCATGAAAACCCCAAATCCACAATCTCAGAAAATGACAATATTGTGAAAAGGTGGAATATTCTCGGCTCAAAGTGTCCCACTCTAATCAGCTAATTATGCCATAACACCTGCAAAGGGTTCCTGAGCCTTTAAATGGTCTCTCAGTCTGGTTCAGTAGGAATCACAATCATGGGAAAGACTGCTGACCTGACACCATCACTGACACCCTCCATAAGGAGGGAAAGCCTCAAAAGGTCATTGCAAAAGAAGTTGGATGTTCCCAAAGTGCTGTATCAAAGCACATTAGTAGAAAGTTATGTGTTGGGGACTTTCACAAGGAGTGGACTGAGGCTGGAGTCAGTGCATCAAGAGCCACCACACACAGACGGATCCTGGACATGGGCTTCAAATGTCGTATTCCTCCTGAACAACAAACAACGTCAGAAGCGTCTTACCTGGGCTAAAGAAAAACAGACCTGGTCTGTTGCTCTGTGGTCCAAAGTCCTCTTTTCTGATGAGAGAAACTTTTGCATCTCATTTGGAAACCAAGGACCCCGAGTATGGAGGAAGAATGGAGAGGCCCAAGGACCCCGAGTATGGAGGAAGAATGGAGAGGCCCAAGGACCCTGAGTATGGAGGAAGAATGGAGAGGCCCAAGGACCCTGAGTATGGAGGAAGAATGGAGAGGCCCAAGGACCCCGAGTATGGAGGAAGAATGGAGAGGCCAAAGGACCCCGAGTATGGAGGAAGAATAGAGAGGCCCAAGGACCCCGAGTATGGAGGAAGAATGGAGAGGCACAAGGACCCCGAGTATGGAGGAAGAATGAAAAGGCACAAGGACCCCGAGTATGGAGGAAGAATAGAGAGGCCCAAGGACCCCGAGTATGGAGGAAGAATAGAGAGGCCCAAGAACCCCGAGTATGGAGGAAGAATGGAGAGGCACAAGGACCCGGAGTATGGAGGAAGAATGGAGAGGCCCAAGAACCCCGAGTATGGAGGAAGAATGGAGAGGCCCAAGGACCCCGAGTATGGAGGGAGAATGGAGAGGCCCAAGGACCCCGAGTATGGAGGAAGAATGGAGAGGCCCAAGGACCCCGAGTATGGAGGAAGAATGGAGAGGCCCAAGGACCCCGAGTATGGAGGAAGAATGGAGAGGCCCAAGGACCCCGAATATGGAGAAGAATGGAGAGGCCCAAGGACCCCGAGTATGGAGGAAGAATGGAGAGGCACAAGGACCCCAAGTATGGAGGAAGAATGGAGAGGCCCAAGGACCCCGAGTATGGAGGAAGAATGGAGAGGCACACACTGCAAGATGCTTGAAGTCCAGTGTGAAGTTTCCACAGTCTGTGTTGATTTGGGGAGCCATGTCATCTGCTGGTGTTGGTCCACTGTGCTTCATTAAGTCCAGGGTCACCGCAGCCGTCTACCAGGAGATTTTGGAGCACTTCATGCTTCCTTCCTCAGACGAGCTTTATGGGGATGCTGACTTCATTTTCCAGGGCACCGCCCACACTGCCAAAAGCACAAAAACCTGGTTCAATGACCGTGGGATTACTGTGCTTGATTGGCCAGCAAACTCGCCTGACCTGAACCCCATAGAGAATCTATGGAGCATTGCCAAGAGAAAGATGAGAGACATGAGACCGAACAATGCAGAAGAGCTGAAGACCGCTATTGAAGCATCCTGGTCTTCCATAACACCTCAGCAGTGCCACAGGCTGATAGCTTCCATGCCACGCCGCATTGAGGCAGTAATTGCTGCAAAAGGGGCCCAAACCAAGTACTGAGTACATATGCATGCTTCTACTTTTCAGAGGTCCGATATTGTTCTATGTACAATCCTTGTTTTATTGATTGCATGGAATATTCTCATTTTCTGAGATTGTGGATTTGGGGTTTTCACGGCTTGAACTATCTTGCTTTGCATGTAATGAGTCTATCTCATATATTAGTTTCACCTTTTAAGTTGCTGAACTGAAATAAATGAAGTTTTGCACCATATTCTAATTTTTCGAGTTTCACCTGTATTTGTATCTCATTGGCCTACCCAAGTGCAGGCTCTCCCCGCTCCAGACCATCCTGAACTCAGCGGCCAGACTCATCCACCTCACCACCCGCTCCACCTCTGCCAGCCCCCTCTGCCTCTCCCTCCACTGGCTCCCGATTGCCCAACGCATCAAATTTAAACTCCTAACCCTGACCTACAAAGCCGTTCACAACACTGCCCCTGACTACCTCACCAACCTGATCCCCAAGTACCGCCCTACCCGTACCCTTCGCTCCTCACAGGACCTCCTTCTATCCTGCTCCCTGGTCTCCTCCTCCCATGCACGACTGCAGGACTTCTCCAGGTCCTCCCCTATCCTCTGGAACTCACTGCCCCAATCCATCCGACTGTCGCCTTCCCTCCCCACATTCAGGCGCTCCCTCAAAAACCCATCTCTTCAGGGAAGCCTACCCCACCCTCACCTAACGGCCATCCTCCCTCATTCCTCCCACCACTTCATCCCCCTCAGCCACTTCATTCCCCTCAGCCACTTCCTATTGTTCCACTACCCCCTCCCTCCTAGATTGTAAGCTTGAAAGAGTAGGGCCCTCTTACCCCTCGTACGCTGTCTGTTTTTGTTGTACTGTGCCATGTATTGTCCCCCCTATTGTACAGCGCTGAGCAAACCCTTTGGCACTATATAAACTCAATGTAATAATAATAATAATAATATTTGTCTATCAATGCTGTGATGAGCAGAGCTTCCCAGCAGCCATTCAGCAGTTGTCCATCAGGTGGAGACAGAGAGCTATCCATAAATCTGTATGGAACTTCTTGGCCAGAGTTGGCAGGTCAGGTCTTCTATGATATACACTATTCTGTGTTTCTTCATTCGAAAATATCAAGGATTTTAATGTAGTCTGGGATGGCAGATGTGACATTGGCTGAGTTATAATAATGCCCCATGTTATTGTGGACCTGGATTTCCACCTGAAGATTGGGCAGTGGTAAGTATGTCTGTGAAGGTGGCTCAATCAGGCGATTATAAGGAAAAATCCGACCAATAATTTGTACCTTATAAAAGGAAATACTCTTTCACTGGCAGAATAGCAGCTAAGCACAAGTCTCTGATGTATCACTTTGTGTGAACGTTTGCCTCATATTATAATTCGCTGACTATGGCTGCCTGAGTGTCATGCTACGATTGTATAAATTATTTCATATTTTAATAAATAAAATATTTTTTTACTTTTTTTATTGTAAAAAAAAAGAAGAATGCTGTTTATGTATGCTTTATTTTTTTTACATGTATATTTAAAAACGATCATTCAACAATGGAGGATAAAATAAGTGACAGCATCTCATTTTTCTGATGTTCCTGGTATAGATAACGCAGGAGGATTATGCCGCCATCCTCGACAAAGTCCCGGAAGGTTTATTCTACAGGTTCCCGCTGAGTGTAGTGAACGGAGTACCGCTAATGAAACCCATCGCGGATCAATGGGAAGGTGTCGAAAAATTCCAAGCCAGACCAGACGATCTCCTCATAGCGACTTATCCCAAGGCAGGTAAGAGAGGATTGGGTCTATGCTGACTCATTGCCTGAATTGTCTCTCTAACCCCTTGTGGTCACCATACTTTCTCTAAGTTAGAACAAGAAAGCATAACCCTGACCAGGGGCGGACTGACAACTCATGGGGCCCCCGGGCAATAGGAAATCATGGGGCCCTTGTGTCCTTGCCCACACTAAAACCACACCCTAAAAAGCCTATAAAAGGTACCAGGGGCATCTCATGGGACCCCCTACTGACCCTGGGCCCTCAGGCAGTGCTCGAGTGCCTAAATGGTCAGTCCGCCCCTGACCCTGACCATACACAGAGCAAATTTCAGCCAGATCCTGATGCACCCTCCCACCTGACATCCTTCAGTTGATAAATTGAAGGAGCTGGGTGGTTAATTGTTGGCCAAACAGTGGCTGCATCCAATCAAATGTAGGCACTGTTCAGGTATTTAGGCAGTATTGGCTGTTAAAATACAGTAGTCGTAGCTGGAGATCTGCTCTGCTTAGCCTGGATGGAGGAATCTTCTTGATGTACACGTTGATATCTATGCTGGGATTGCCACCTCATCCCTTTAAAACTGAACACAGATTAACCACTTCCCATCCGGAACATTGTATATAAACGGCCGGACGGTGGCAGTGCAGCAGTGGGTGGCCGTTTATAAATGTCCTCCCCGTTCCCTGCTTGTGCGCGCTACCTGGGAGCATGCAGCACCGCGATCCAGTGACCGCTGTGTCCTCAGGAACACTGATCATTGTACGGGACCTCTGTGCGAGGTCCTGATCATGTGATCACTGATTGACCAATCTGTGATCACATGAAGAGTAGTAAGCAAGATGTCACTTCTTACATCATTGCTTACTACGTGTGAAATTTGTGAATGATCACCGAGGCCACATGGTACAGGGCTATTCACAACAGCCTTGTACCATGTGACAAGCTGTGACCAATCACAGCTCACACAGTATTTTTCAATGGCTGCAAGAATGCAGCCAGAGAGAAGGAGAAATTATTGATTTTACAGCCTTTATGGGTGTAAAAGCAATCAGTATAAAAAAAATTAAAAAAAAAACTTAATCACCCCCCACAAGTAGTAGTGTGACTATGGTAACACTGTACTGCTAGGGTGATAGTATGTAAAAAAAAAACCAAAAAAACAAAAAAAAATAAATGATATAAAAAATTAAAATTAAAATAAAGTAAAAAAAAAATTTAGAAAAATTATAATTTTTGGTTATAAACTAATTTGGGTTATTTTTTTTTCTTACTAAAACGATAATTGAATAACTTTTGCCCAAGATTTATGATGAAATATTTATTTGCAAAATTTTATAAGAAATACTTTTTTTTTTCAAAATTTTTAGGACTTTTTCATTTATATAGCAAAAAAAAAAAAAGAATCCCATTGGTGAATAAATACCACCAAAATAAAGCTTTATCTGTCTCAAAAAAATGCTAAAAAATTCATATGGTTACAGTGTTGCATGACCGCGCAATTGTCATTCAAAGTGTGATAGAGCTGAAAATTGGCCTGGACAGGAAGGGGGTGAAAGTGTCCGGACTGGAAGGGGGTGAAAGTGTCCGGACTGGAAGGGGGGTGAAAGTGTCCGGACTGGAGGGGGGGTGAAAGTGTCCGGACTGGAAGGGGGGGAAAGTGTCCGGACTGGAAGGGGGGAAAGTGTCCGGACTGGAAGGGGGGTGAAAGTGTCCGGACTGGAGGGGGGGTGAAAGTGTCCGGACTGGAAGGGGGGAAAGTGTCCGGACTGGAAGGGGGGAAAAGTGTCCGGACTGGAAGGGGGGGAAAGTGTCCGGACTGGAAGGGGGGGAAAGTGTCCGGACTGGAAGGGGGGGAAAGTGTCCGGACTGGAAGGGGGGAAAGTGTCCGGACTGGAAGGGGGGGAAAGTGTCCGGACTGGAAGGGGGGGAAAGTGTCCGGACTGGAAGGGGTTAATTATACAGGTTCTCTGGCTGATTAAGGTGGTTAATTAAACTTACTTAGTGCCTTATTTCCAATAAATTAGCCTCAGAACCCGTGTGGTTAATATGTGTTCGGTATTAAAGGGATGAGGGGGCAATCCTAATCTATGCCTCCACGGTCAGCTTTAGGGTCATGCATGGAAAGGCAGAATTATATGATCAAAGTTCTTTCACAGGGCTAGCTGAAGCTCAAGTCAAGCTCAGAAAGCAGGCCAAAAGTCAGGGTGGGCAGTGTAGGCTCAATTCAATTTCAGGAAGTCTGACAAGGTCAGTGCAGGCAATGTGGTCACAAGTCAAATTCACGGAATAGGAAAAGGTCAGGACAGGCAATGAAGGTTCAAGTCGAGTGTAGGAAGCAGGCCAAGGTCAGGCAGGCAACGTAGGCTCAGATCAAGTGCAGGAAGTAGACTTAGTTGAAGGCAGACAATATAATCTCAAGTCAAGTGCAGGAAGCAGGCCAAGGTCAGTGCAGGCAATGTAGGGTTAAGACAGGTGAAGGAGTAGGTCAAGGTCAGGGCAGGCTTTGTAGGCTCAAGTCAAATGTAAGAAGTAGGCCTACGACAAGGCTGCCAATGTAGATTCAAGTCCACTGCACGAAGTGTAGGTTCAAGTCAAATGTGGGAGATTTTTTTTTTTTCTACAGGTACTTATATAACGCCATCAATGTACGCAGTGCTTTACATATATATTGTACATTCACATCAGTCCCTAACCCTCAAGGGGCGTACAATCTAAGATAAGACAAGCTTAAGTTCATGTAAAGTGCAGTAAGCAGACCAAGGTCAGGGCAGGCAATGTAGGCTCCAGTCAAGTGCAGGAAGCAGGCCAAGTTCAGTGTAGGCAATAAAGGGTCAAGGCAAGTGCAGGAAGTACGCCTAGGTCAAGGCAGGCAATATAGACTGCAGTCCACTGCAAGAAGCAGTCCAAGGTCAGAGAGAAGGTTCAAGTTAAGTTCAGTTTGCAGCAGGGCATCCAACAAAGGCTTAATACAAAGACAGGAAGCAAGGACTGGGGAGGGAAGGAAACGTAAGCTCAAGTCAGAGCTGATAATGTAGACTTAACCTCTTGGCGCCGGTCGAACGCAAATGTGCGGCCTCCCGGGGTCTGGGCCTAGACGACGTGCGGCCGCCGCACATTTGCGTTCTATTAAAAAAACACATATGTGCTGAGAGCGCGCGTCCTGCAGTGGTGAGATTAACGGCTTCCGAACCGTGCTATAGCCGAAAGATGGCTATAGCGCAGTTGTCTAGTTCTGGGAGGACGTCCATGGATGCCCTCCTAGAACACGTCCCCTGTGCGCCCCCAGCGGCACGCACCCAGCACCCTATGGACACAGATGATCACGTGATAAGGTTGTGTTGCGGTTTGGGCACTCAGGCTCAAAAAGGTTCGCCATCACTGTACTTTTACATCTGTGGCAGTGTTGTGCCCTGCCACACCCAGGATTCTCATCCAGGCAGGTTGAGGGGCTCCAGGGAACTTGTGTCATTCAGAGGAAACTGACTTTTCAGTTTCCTCATTGGTTGGTAAAACCTGGTTTTGGAACTGAAGCCTGGAGATTTTGTAGAGATCTGGAAAGGATGAAACCTCCAATCCTGGGTTCGTGTTTAGAGAACCACCAGCACACTAAGGCTGCATGCACACTGGCTATTTTTAGGCTCCTAGAAGCCCCTAGCAGCTATTTATGAGCATTTTTTTCTGCCCCAAGAAGCAAATAGTGTTAACCTATGTGTCCATGCACACTATTGTAGGCTAGAAGCATTTTTCAAGCGTCAGCTTCTAGGAGCCAGGAGTGTTTTTTGGAAGTGATTTGCTGAATGCTCCTAAGTGCTCCTAAATGCTCCTAAATGCCTGGTGCCGTGTCATTAAGAACGGATGACCCATCAGTTGCCAGCGAGGTTCCCAAGGTTGTAGGGAAGAGGCCATTGTCCCAACCAACATGGGGACTTGGGAGCTTTGGAGCCACTACCCCCCCATGCTGAAGACATGTGGCCTAGTATGGTTCAGGAGGGGGGTGATTGCTTTTTTTGGCCTGCCAAGCTGCATGCTCGGATAAGGGTCTGGCATGGATTTTGGGAGGGACCTCCACGTCATTTTTAAAAAAACATTTTGTTGTGGGGTTCCCCTGAAAATCCATACCAGACCTACAGGTCTGGTGTGGATTTGTGGAGGAACCCAGGCCATTTTTTTTATTTTGGCATGAGCTTCCCCTTAAATCCACACCAGACCTGAAGGACCAGTTATGGATTGAGCAGGGGGACCCCTACCCTGTTTTTCTTCTCATTTTAATTGCTGGCAATTCTTTTGTTTACATTCAGCTGTCATCAGGGAATCCCGATGACAGCTGATGAGTCATTGGTTGTTAAGGACGCGGGTGGTTTTTTAAAGCGGAGTTCCACTCAAAAGGGGAAGTTCCGCTTTAAGGACTGCTCCCCCGCTCCCCATTTAGGATCTGCACCTTTGGGGAGCGTGGGGGGGAGCGGGTACCTGAATTTGACAGGTACCCGCTCCCACTTCCGGTACGATCGCCTAGGAAGGTGTCCTCCCTCCCTGTAGTCTTTTGGGACACGTGACAGGTCCCAGGAGACTACAGGACCATTCATGAAGTGCAGTGCTACTCACGCATGCGCAGTGGGTACCCGGCTGTGAAGCCGCAAGTGCCCACACTTAAGATGCCGGCCTCCTGGAATACAGCTGCAGGGGACACACTGCGGGACCGAGGGAGAGGTAAGTGGCTGGTTTTTTAAAAGTCAACAGCTACAGTTTTGTAGCTGCTGACTTTTATTTTTTGATCGGTTGAGTGGAACTCCGCTTTAACTCCTAGTGTGCATGGAGCCTTATTGAGCAGGTATGTGCTGGGTTTTTAGGAGAGACCTGACTGTGGTTCTGGGCTCCACCCTGGCAGACAGAGGAGGTCCTTGCCCACGAGTCAGAAGAGCTCCACCTAGGAGAAACAAGTGGGCACCAGAGGCTGCAAGATATGTGCTGAGAGTTTGTGAGAAGATTGTCTGGAGGACACAGACAGGGGCCTAAAGGGCATGGCCAGAGCAGTAGTGTCGAATGTGTGTGAATGGGATGTGTGTGAATGCTGAAAACTCCCTTCGAGGGAAACTCCTTGATTTTGATTTTCTGGAACTGCAGTGAATCTTTCTTTTTGTAAATTTGGGCAAGAACAGCACTTAAACAGAAGAAAAGCGGATGGTGGTGTCCTTAAAAGTTTTATCACTTGAAGTGAGATCTCACACATCTTAATCTTGTTTCGGTAATCTGGAAATGGCCATCGTACATATACTAAGATATAAATGTGTGAGTTAGCGAGCGCACCAAATAAAGCTGCTAATGCACAAAAAGGAACCACAAAGCCTTTCTAAGAATACAACATAAAAAAATGGGGTGTGCAGCGCTATACAGATAAACACACTATCATAGATATGGCAAAAAAGGAAGAAGTCCTGTAAACTGAATGGTAAACAGTCCGAGGTAATATATATGATTTCAATCCAAATGGGTATATTGCAGTGATGCAGTATATATGACTTCAATCCAAATGGGTATATTCCAGCATCCTGACATGAAGGTGTAGAAAAATTGCCCACTCACCGGAAGTGCAATTTTAATGTGCACATAGAAATTCCATGTAGCCGGAGGTCCCGTGAAGGTACAGCCTGATGATAAAGGTATCCTCTGGTGGTTATTGAGGTGACAGCTGCCAGGGATGATGGTCTGGACCTATTTCCCAAATCCTCCAGCCTGGGCAGACTCCTGGAATGCTGGGCTGAGATGTGAAGGCTCAGTGCCAGGTAATAGAGATGAAAACGCTCATAGTGTAGTAATGTAAAATTTATTATGAATATTATGGTATAAAAATAAGCGTACAGGGTGATTGTAACCAATACAAATAATCATGAGCTCTTGAATACACTGACCAGTGGATAAATATGATGGCCACCGGACCTCCTGATCCGGTGGCGTGACGTCAAGGCGTGCAGAGGCTCCTCCTAGACGCGCTTCGTGTAATAACACGTCTCCTGTAGGGGGCCAAAAGGCTAGCTTTTTAAGGGCCTTCTTCACAGGCAGGACAACCTCCTATAGTCTGTCCTGATTAACACCTGGTTCGGCAGTAGTGGGTAAAGTTCTCCAGAACTCAACAGAAACCTTCCCTACTGTATTCAAAACAAAAGAAGAAAGTGTTGGATGGAGTTCACCTTTACGGTCACCATCATTAATTTTTTTCCCCTTATATTTTCTTTCCTTCTTCTCTGAGGTTTCTCCAGGCACTACATGGATGCAAGAGATTGTGGACTCCATAATGAACAATGGTGAATTAGAGAAGAACAAGCGTGCTCCCACCCATGTACGTTCTCCATTTCTGGAGATCTGCTCTCCACCACCCGTTCCTTCCGGTGAGTGTGGTTTCTCAGACACAGTGTTTGGTTGATTAAATAATGGACTTGGCATTAAAAATTTTCATTCTTCTCTTCAGGCGTAGAAGTCTTGAACAATACTCCATCCCCCAGGCTGGTAAAAACCCATCTGCCCTATGAGTTGGTACCGAAATCTTTTTGGGAACATAAGTGTAAGGTAAGAGTTTGAATCGGATAAATAGTGTGATGTATGAACATACCACAAAATGTGACACAAAATAAGCAAAAATTACCAATGGAAAAAAAAAATGTGTTCTGAGAAAACGTTTTCTTTGGCCCTGTATTTACCAGAAATTGATTGGTTGTCTGCTATTATTACAAGTGACCATCACCTGCACATTTAACCCTTTAAACTCACGATGGCTGTCATGTATTTTAACAGAAACATGCACTGTCTATAGCTTCTGTGTTGTTTAACAATGTCATTATCACTTGCTGCCACACTCAGAGAGGAATGTAACAGGGTTTAGACTATAGTAGTTTCTTCAAAGAGGTAGAGTTTTTTATTTCTAGCTAGAGCATTCAGAGATTCTGCTTAACAATTGAAATCATTTTACTGAAAAAAAACAGGTGCAAGAAAAATGTAAAATATATTACACTGTACTCATAGGAAACAGCAAAATAAAATGGCTTAAAAGTGAAGCATACTTCACCTTTTCAGAAAAAAATTAAAAGATGAACTAACACTCTACAGCCTGAGCTCCTGAACTCCTGTCAACCCAACCCCACCACCACCATCACCACCACCACCCTTGCTCCCGGTCCTGGGTTTCCTTAAATCTGTGGGTTTTGAGCTGTCAGTGCCGTCCCAGCCAGTGTATCTGTCTATTGATTTTATATTCCTGTTCTTCTCCCTCTTCTTTCTGCAGGGCTTCCAGGACAGATCAGTGCTATTCTGATTGGTCTGCTTTGGCACAGAGAATCTCTCAGATCTGTCCTGGAAGCCCTGAAGCCCAGAAGAAAGAATGAGGAGAAGACTGGGTTTTCAAATCTTCAGAATGCTGCACTGGCTGTGTGGGCCCACCAAGGTAAGTACTGGTATTAGTAGGGTATTAGTTCACCTTTTTCATTTTTTCTGAAAAGGTGAACTTACACTTTACTTAGAGTCCACCTGGTCTGCAGTACAGTTCAGAGTTCGTATCACTTGAAGATGAAATCCAGTCTGATGCTGTAAGAGTCCCTGGCCCTCATAAATGACTCTTAATATTCCTTGATAGCTCCAGTGGTAAAACTGGAGCCCTCTTTTCATGTCTTTGGACAAGGTGTTGCAAAACTAATCTCATCCAATAAAAAGGTCTGAGGGGTGTGATGTAGGTGTTCTAGAATATTTTGTTGTGCCCAGCAGAAACACCCTTGTTGCTCACTATCCTTGTAAACACTCAGCTTTTATTGGACAATGCTTCACAATTTGAAAACCAGCACATCCTTCAACAGGAAGAAATTATGATTTGTTAGAGACTAAGCTGGATATACTTTATATCTGATGTAAATGTTTCTCCTAGGATTCCTAATGTGTCTCAATAGCCTTCTAGGCATTGTAATATAGTTATGATTGGTGTCTAACTGATTGGTATCTTCTTCTACATTGATATAACCAGGGATTTTTTCTCCAAGAAAAGATGCAGGTACTCCCCCTTTTCAAATCACCACTTGTCTCCACCCATACCCACCTTCAAGCACCATCCCTTTGCTTCAACCGCCCACCCACTTCCCAGTACTGTTCCTTTTAGAGAAAACAGAACCAAGTATCACTTTGTGATGCTAAGTAATTTGTATGACATTTGTTAATAATAATTAAAAAAAAGCTGTAAAATAGATCTGCAACAAAATACCCCCAAGAACAATAGATCCTAGCCATACAAAACCCCACCAGCAACAATAGATCACCCAACAGCCAGCATTACTAGATCCTTTAGCAGTCAACAACCATAGACCCCTCCTTCAACAAAAGCCCCCTCCCAGCAACTATTGATCCCCTATCAGCAACGATTCCCCAACAGCCAGCATCAAAAGACCCTCCAGCACACCCCAACATCCCTTACCATCACATACGTTCAGTGATGGAGGTGTCAGAACTGCGCTCCCCCGCAAAGCCCTGGATATAACCATTTTCTGGAAGGTAACTCCACTACAACAGGAATTATGAAATATGTAGGAAAATGAACTCTGTAGAATTCGGCTGTAGGTCAGTATAGGTCACCAGCAACCCATCCCCACAGATGTGTCTTCCTCAACTTGCACACCAGACCATTGGCAATGTGAGTGTTTTACGACAGGGCCTCATCCAGAAGACCTTTGAAGACCATGGGCTAGTGAGGGATTATGATGCCTTTGCTTCCTTCTAATGGGACAGCTTAATGGCAAATGCATTGACTCCTTGGCTGTTTAGCACAGGCAGGAGATTTAAATCTGACCGTCTTGTTATGGACTTCACCCATCTTCCTCACACAGTTTGGGGTTCTTCAGGCCTCACTCTCACTATAGTAAAGTTTTGGACTTACCAGCCTAGTGTGGTCAGCAAGAACAGTACATTACATGGGAGACTCCAAGATCACCAACACTTTAGGAATACCTTTGAGCATATGCGAAGAACTGATGGTGTGCCTCACTATTTGCAGACAATATACGTTGCTCGGAACGCGAAGGACAACGCAGTGTCGTACTATTTCTTCGATCTGATGAATAAAACTCAGCCTGACCCCGGGACCTGGGATCAGTACGTGGAAAAGTTCCTAACGGGTGAAGGTATGTGAAGGCCTCAAGTATATATGTAAACTCGATCACCAAAATCTCACGTAAGTTTTTACATCGTGTTACATTTTCAGTTGTCTTTCAGATAATAACTGGTGATCTTGGTATGAAGATCCTTGTGCGGTAACTTCCTGTTACAGGGTGACAACGCTCTGTCCCTGTAGCCAATTGTTCTCCTGCATTGTCACCTTGTCGAATGGGCTTGCCATGGAGATCACAAGTGGCTGTTTCAACACACATTAAGCCGGTTAGGTCCACTATTGTCACCATTAGGAAACCCGATTTGATGGCTTGAGTTTCATATTAAATGTAACGGAGTGCTTCGTTTCTGGGGAAGAGGAGTGGCCCCCACGTGGCTTCTATTGTTTTAAAGTGTTACTAAACCTACAACAATAAAATCAGTCTGTAGATGCAGTAAAGCATGCTTGTTATACTCACTGTGGAAGCTAAGGGATTAATCCTCTGCATTGTGTAAAAAGGATGGTTCATCCTGTCTTCTCTGATCCTCCCCTTCTCCTACTGTTCCCAATCCATCCACTGATAGTACAGAGCTCTAGAAGTCACTATGCACATGCTCAGTTTAGTGTGTATGGCTAGGGAGGTTTTTTTTTTTTTCTTTGGGAGAATGCATGTGATCAGTACTGGGCCAATCAGCACTGTCCAGACAGAGGGTCAGGGGTCATGCAGCCTCATAGGATACTCAGGGGAAAATGAAAACTCCTACAAGATTAACCAGTGCACTGCTAGACACTGATAGAAGTCACAATACTGCAATACACTGCTGATGAGAAAAGGGATTTAGCAGTTTATATTTACTAAAATAACGCATTTCCATGTTGTGTGTACTGTGGGAGACCGGCCATAGTGAATGCAGGGTCCGGGGAGACCAGATAAAGTGAATGCAGGGTCCAGGGAGACCAGATATAGTGAATGCGGGGTCCGGGAAGACCAGATATAGTGAATGCAGGGTCCGGGGAGACCGGATATAGTGAAATGCAGGGTCCGGGGAGACCAGATATAGTGAATGCAGGGTCCAAGGAGAGCGGATATAGTGAATGCAGGGTTCGGGGAGACCAGATATAGTGAATGCAGGGTCCGAGGAGACCAGATATAGTGAATTCAGGGTCCGGGGAGATCAGATATAGTGAATGGAGGGTCCGGGGAGACCAGATATAGTGAATGCAGGGTCCGAGGAGACCAGATACAGTGAATGCAGGGTCCGGGGAGAGCGGATATAGTGAATGCAGGGTCCAAGGAGACCAGATATAGTGAATGAAGGGTCCAGGGAGACTGGATATAGTGAATGCAGGGTCCAGGGAGACCAGATATAGTGAATGCAGGGTCCGGGGAGAGCAGATATAGTGAATGCAGGGTCAGGGGAGAGCGGATATAGTGAATGCAGGGTCCAGGGAGACCAGATATAGTGAATGCAGGGTCCGGGGAGAGCGGATATAGTGAATGCAGGGTCCAGGGAGACCAGATATAGTGAATGCAGGGTCCGGGGAGAGCGGATATAGTGAATGCAGGGTTCAGGGAGACCAGATATAGTGAATTCAGGGTCCAGGGAGACCAGATATAGTGAATGCAGGGTCCTAGGAGACAAGATATAGTGAATGCAGGGTCCGGGGAGACCAGATATAGTAAATGCAGGGTCCTAGGAGACCAGATATAGTGAATGCAGGGTCTGGGGAGACCAGATACAGTGAATGTAGGATCCAGGGAGAGCAGATATAGTGAATGCAGGGTCCTAGGAGACGAGATATAGTGAATGCAGGGTCCGGGGAGAGCTGATATAGTGAATGCAGGGTCCGGGGAGTCCGGATATAGTGAATACAGGGTCCAGGGAGACCAGATATAGTGAATGCGGGGTCCGGGGAGAGCGTATATAGTGAATGCAGGGTCTGGAGAGAGCAGATATAATGAATGCAGGGTCCAGGGAGAGCGTATATAGTGAATGCAGGGTCTGGAGAGAGCAGATATAATGAATGCTGGGTCCGGGGAGACCAGATATAATGAATGCAGGGTCTGGAGAGAGCAGATATAATGAATGCAGGGTCTGGGGAGAGCGGATGTAGTGAATGCAGGGTCCGGGGACAGTGGATATAGTGAATGCAGGGTCCGGGGAGAGCAGATATAGTGAATGCAGGGTCCGGGGAGAGCAGATATAGTGAATGCAGGGCACTGGGAGAGCGGATATAGTGAATACAGGGTACTGGGAGAGCAGATATAGTGAATACAGGGTACTGGGAGAGCGGATATAGTAAATGCAGGGTCCGGGGAGACCTGATATAGTGAATGCAGGGTCCGGGGGAGAGCAGATATAGTGAATGCAGGGTCCGGGGAGAGCGCATATAGTGAATGCAGGGTCCGGGGAGAGCGGATATAGTGAATGCAGGGTCCGGGGAGAGCGGGATATAGTGAATGCAGGGTCCAGGGAGACCAGATATAGTGAATGCAGGGTCCGGGGAGAGCGGATATAGTGAATGCAGGGTTCAGGGAGACCAGATATAGTGAATTCAGGGTCCAGGGAGACCAGATATAGTGAATGCAGGGTCCTAGGAGACAAGATATAGTGAATGCAGGGTCCGGGGAGACCAGATATAGTAAATGCAGGGTCCTAGGAGACCAGATATAGTGAATGCAGGGTCTGGGGAGACCAGATACAGTGAATGTAGGATCCAGGGAGAGCAGATATAGTGAATGCAGGGTCCTAGGAGACGAGATATAGTGAATGCAGGGTCCGGGGAGAGCTGATATAGTGAATGCAGGGTCCGGGGAGTCCGGATATAGTGAATACAGGGTCCAGGGAGACCAGATATAGTGAATGCGGGGTCCGGGGAGAGCGTATATAGTGAATGCAGGGTCTGGAGAGAGCAGATATAATGAATGCAGGGTCCAGGGAGAGCGTATATAGTGAATGCAGGGTCTGGAGAGAGCAGATATAATGAATGCTGGGTCCGGGGAGACCAGATATAATGAATGCAGGGTCTGGAGAGAGCAGATATAATGAATGCAGGGTCTGGGGAGAGCGGATGTAGTGAATGCAGGGTCCGGGGACAGTGGATATAGTGAATGCAGGGTCCGGGGAGAGCAGATATAGTGAATGCAGGGTCCGGGGAGAGCAGATATAGTGAATGCAGGGCACTGGGAGAGCGGATATAGTGAATACAGGGTACTGGGAGAGCAGATATAGTGAATACAGGGTACTGGGAGAGCGGATATAGTAAAATGCAGGGTCCGGGGAGACCTGATATAGTGAATGCAGGGTCCGGGGAGAGCAGATATAGTGAATGCAGGGTCCGGGAAGAGCGGATATAGTGAATGCGGGGTCCAGGGAGAGCGCATATAGTGAATGCAGGGTCCGGGGAGAGCGGATATAGTGAATGCAGGGTCCGGGGAGAGCGGATATAGTGAATGCAGGGTCCTGGGAGACCTGATATAGTAAATGCAGGGTCCGGGGAGACCAGATATAGTGAATGCAGGGTCCGGGGAGAGCAGATATAGTGAATGCGGGGTCTGGGGAGAGCGGATATAGTGAATGCAGGGTCCAGGGAGAGCAGATATAGTGAATGCAGGGTCCGGGGAGACCAGATATAGTGAATGCAGGGTCCGGGGAGACCAGATATAGTGAATGCAGGGTCCGGGGAGACCAGATATAGTGAATGCAGGGTCCGGGGAGACCAGATATAGTGAATGCAGGGTCCGGGGAGACCAGATATAGTGAATGCAGGGTCCGGGGAGACCAGATATAGTGAATGCAGGGTACTGGGTTTAGTAACACTTATATATAAGTAATGTGACCCTCAGAAACACTCTTTTATGGAAAGATTTCTTGTCCCTGAAACTGCATTTAGATTATACTGTAAATGAAAGCTGAACTCTATGCACAAAAGCCTCCATTTACAGTATATATGTTCCGCAATAGCCACAGACTATATAAATCCATTGCATGTCTTCGCAAACCCAGATATTGACTGGTTGAAGTAGCAGTGAAACATCATCACTGTGCTGGACATAGCCTGTGAAGAGAACAGAGATGTAGGAGGGCCCAAGCAGGCTCCACCAACTATGGGCTACCTATAGAAAACTACAGCAGGGGGCGGAGACAAGACTAGTCACTCTGCACAAGGAGAGAGATCAGCAGTGAGCGGTCTTTATTACAGCAAGTCTCACACTGGATGATGGCACAGATCTGGAAGAAATACACAAGTCTCACTAAGATTTAAGGACGAATACACAATGAATGTACACGGCTCAAAAAATGAAAGTAACACTTTTTAATCAGAGTATATCATCAAGTCAATGAAACTCCCAAGATATTGATCTGGTCAGGTAAGTAGCAGAGGGGGTTGTTAATCAGTTTCAGCTGCTTTGGTGTTAATAAAATTAACAACAGGTGCACTAGATGGGCAACAATGAGATGACCCCCAAAACAGGAATGGTTTTACAGATGGAGGCCACTGACTTTTTTTCCCTACTCATATTTTCTGACTGTTTTTCACTAGTTTTGCATTTGGCTAGGGTAAGTGTCACTACTGGTAGCATAAGGCCATACCTGGACCCTACAGAGGTTGCACAAGCAGTCCAACTCCTCCAGGATGGCACATCAATACATGCCATTGCCAGAAGGATAACTGTGTCTCCCAGCACAGTCTCAAGAGCATGGAGGAGATTCCAGGAGACAGGCAGTTACTCTAGGAGAGCTGGACAGGGCCGTAGAAGGTCCTTAACCCATCAGCAGGACCGGTATCTGCTCCTTTGTGCAAGGAGGACCAGGATGAGCCCTGCCAGAGCCCTACAAGATGACCTCCAGCAGGCCACTGGTGTGATTGTCTCTGACCAATCAGAAACAGACTTCATGAGGGGGCCTTAGGGCCCGACGTCCTCTAGTGGGCCCTGTGCTCACTGCCCAGCACCATAGAGCTGGATTGGCATTTGCCATTGAACCCCAGAATTGGCAGGTCCACCACTGGCGACCTGTGCTTCTCACAGATGAGAGCAGGTTCCCCCTGAGCACATGTGACAGACATGAAAGGGTCTGGAGAAGCCATGGAGAACGTTCTGCTGCCTGTAACATGGTTCAGCATGACTGTTTCGGTGGTGGGTCAGTGATGGTCTGGGGAGGAATATCCATGGAGGGATGTACAGACCTCTACAGGCTAGACAATGGCACCCTGACTGCCATTAGGTATCGGGATGAAATCTTTGGACCCATTGTCAGACCCTATGCTGGTGCACTGGATCCCGGACTCCTCCTGGTGCAGTGGGTCCTGGGGTCCTCCTGGTGCAGTGGGTCCTGGGGTCCTCCTGGTGCAGTGGGTCCTGGGTTCCTCCTGGTGCAGTGGGTCCTGGGTTCCTCCTGGTGCAGTGGGTCCTGGGTTCCTCCTGGTGCAGTGGGTCCTGGGTTTCTCCTGGTGCAGTGGGTCCTGGGTTCCTCCTGGTGCAGTGGGTCCTGGGTTCCTCCTGGTGCAGTGGGTCCTGGGTTCTTCCTGGTGCAGAATGCCCGGCCCCATGTGGGGAGAGTATGTAGGCAGTTCCTGAAGGATGAAGAAATTGATACCATTGAATGGCCCCCACGCTCGCCTGACCTAAATCCAATAGAACACCTCTGGGATGTCATGCTTCGGTCCATCCGACGCTGCCAGGTTGTACCTCAGACTGTACAGGAGTTCAGTGATGCCCTGGTCCAGATCTGGGAGGAAATCCCTCAGGACACCATCCGTGGTCTCATTAGGAGCCTCCCCCAATGTTGTCAGGCATGCATACAAGCACGTGGGGGCCACACAGACTACTGAGGACCATTCTGAGTTGCTGCAATGACATTTCAGGAAAATGGACTCGCCTGCTGCATCATTTCTTCACTTTGATTTTCGGGGTGTCTTTGAATTCAGTCCTCTGTAGGTCGATCATTTTCATTTCCATCAAACGATGGGGCGTCCTTACATTCCTCACCCATCCCCCGTCCATGTCAGTATAGAGATCCAGCAGGAGATTCCTCCCCATTCAGATCTGATGGGTTTTAAAAGTGTTCCTTTCATTTTTTTGAGCCGTGTATATAGAACATATTTACAGGTCTAAAGTTCAAATCTTTCTTCATTAATTTTTGTTAGAAAACTGAAAACTTCTGTGCCTCAAAATGTATTGCAGAGAAAGTGTGTCGATGTAAGATTGGAAGCAAATAATTTATTTATGAAGCCTAAAATATTCTCTGGTTGACATGAATGGGGACAAGGCATTGTACAAGATCTGACGGCACGCCTGAAAGACCTTTTCAGCGAATAAAGTGCACTTAGAGGTCTCCTTACCAAGAAATAGTGACAGAGGAGCTTCGGCTCTGATGACTCCTTTGATGACTCCTATTCCCTTCTTTTGTAGTGGCCTGGGGAAACTGGTTTGACCACGTGATTGGCTGGTGGAATGCCAAGGACAAGCACAACATCCTCTATGTGTTCTATGAAGATATGAAAGAGGTGAGGGGGAGCTAGAGGGAACAAAGTCTTTTTAGTAAAGATATTGAGGATGATTTGCTAAAATTGGAGAGTGCAAAATTTGGTGCAGCTGTGCATGGCAGCCAATCAGCTCCTCTCCTGGACTGAAATGGCTAAGGCTGCCCATACATTATACAATTTTCTTGAGAATTTTGCTTTAGATTTACCAAAAACCATATAAGAGGAGGTCAAACCTAAACACTTCCAATTGTATCCAATCAGGCAGGCCCTTGCACTACATAGTGGAAGGTAAACCTAAAGGAAATTGGGCAAAAATTGGACAGAAAATTGTATAGTGTATGGCCAGGTTTACTCTGATGTCACTGCACACTGTTCGCTTCTCACAATGTGCAATAGAAGCTGCAGCAAGTCAGATAAAGCTCCGCATCGGTGCTCAGGCTCCATTCACACTTGTGCAACTTGTCATGCAACTTTGGACACTAAAGTTGCATGACAAGTCGTACTCCATGTTTTTCAATGACAGCCATTCAAATATCTACAACTTAAAGTTACAGCGACTTCATGCACTACTTTGGTACAACTTTTATGCAACTTGAGTGTCATAGACTGCAGTGTAAAACTTTATAGGGATGTCCTCCTGCGCTCCACAGAGTAACTAAACAAGACCAGCTGCTATCATCTATACCCTATACCTCGGGATGAAAAAAAATCTAATAGTGGATGAAGCGCTCAGCCATGAGGGTAACAAACTAATTAAACTAAATAGATAAAAATAAATACATAATAAAAAAAAATATATATATATAATAAAGTGACCAGTGCTCCAAATAGATGTGCAAACAAAAATTAATAAATGTATAAAAAATATTCAATACATACAGTTGCAAGAAAAAGTATGTGAACCCCTTGGGATTACGTGGAGTTTTGCATGAATTGGGCATAAAATGTGCTCTGAACGTCATCTAAGTCACAACAATAGAAGAACACAGTCTGCTGAACATAATACTACACAAACATTAGATGTTGCCATGGTTTAATTGCACATAACATGTAAACATTCACAGTGCAGGGAGGAAAAAGTATGTGAGGCCCTAGCTTAATGACTTCTCCCAGAGCTAATTGGAGCCAGGAGTGAGCCAACCTTGACTCCAATCAGTGTGATGATATTGGATGTGTTGCTGACAGCTGTCCTGCCCTTAAAAAACACACACCTGTTTTTGGTTTACTGGTTTCAAGAAGCACTGTCTGATGTGAACCATGCCTCGCAGAAAAGAGCTCTCAGAAGACCTACGATCAAGAATTGTTGACTTGCATGAAGCTGGAAAGGGTTACAAAAGTATCTCCTTGAGCCTTGATGTTCATGTGTCCACGGTAAGACAGACTGCCTACAAATGGAGAAAGTTTAGCACTGTTGCTACTCTCCCTAGGCGTGGTCGTCCTGTAAAAATGACTGCAAGAGCACAGCGCAGAATGCTGCATGAGGTAAAGAAGAATCCCAGAGTGTCAGCTAAAGACCTACAGAAATCTCTGGCACATGCTAACATTTTTGTTGACACATCTACAATAAGGAAAACATTAAACAAGAATGGAGTACATGGGAGGACACCACGGAGGAAGCCATTGCTGTCCAAAAAGAATATTGCAGCACGTTTGAAGTTTGCAAAAGAGCACCTGGATGTTCCACAGCACTGCTGGCAAAATATACTGTGGACAGATGAAACCAAGATTGAGTTGTTTGGGAAAGAACACACAACACTATGTGTGGAGAAAAAAAGGCCCAGCACACCAACATCAAACCTCATCCCCACTGTGAAACATGGCGGAGGGAGCATCATGGTTTGGGGCTGCTTTGCTGCCTCAGGGCCTGGACGGATTGTTGTCATTGATGGGAAAATGAATTCCAGAGTTTATCAAGACATTTTGCAGGAAAACGTACGACCATCTGTCCGCCAACTGAAGCTCTGCAGAGGATGGGTGATGCAACAGGACAATGACCCAAAGCATACAAGTCATTCAACAAAACAATGGCTGCAACAGCACAGAATACGCCTTCTGGAGTGGCCCAGTCAGAGTCCTGACCTCAACCCAATTGAAATGCTGTGGCATGACCTTAAGAGAGCGATTCACACCAGACATCCCAAGAATATTGCTACATTGAAACAGTTTTGTGAAGAGGAGTGGTCCAAAATGACTCCAGATCATTGTGCAGGTCTGATCTGCAACTACAGGAAACGTTTGGTTGAGGTTATTGCTGCCAAAGGAGGGTCAACCAGTTATTAAGTCCAAAGGTTCACATACTTTTTCCTCCCTGCACTGTGAATGTTTACATGTTATGTGCAATTAAACCATGGCAACATCTAATGTTTGTGTAGTATTATGTTCAGCAGACTGTGTTCTTCTATTGTTGTGACTTAGATGACGTTCAGAGCACATTTTATGCCCAATTCATGCAAAACTCCACGTAATCCCAAGGGGTTCACATACTTTTTCTTGCACCTGTAAATATTTATAGAGTGAAGGTGATGGTGCTTCAAATCAATCAATATGTGCAAACAAAACAAACCACCAGTCTGCCACCCAGTGGCTAAAAACTGGTACTAAATATACACACACTAAGTGTATAAAAAGTGACAAGTGCCCAGAAAACTAAATATATATATATATACAAAAAATCCACACTTAATCATATATATTAAATATATAAAAGATGTGAAAAATCACTACCTAAAGTGACAAGTGAAAAAAATTAAAATAAAAATAAGTCCACACTAAAGTGCAACAATCGTGCTATCACTCTTATAATGTGAGGCTGAATAAATGCTTTTCCACTTCAAAATCTTTTGCTCAAAAACAAGGAGTGACACTCTCGTACATATATCCTCCAATGGCTAGAGTGCCTCCTCACCTCCTTTATTCGACCCCTAGGGGCCACAAATCATGTAATCCAATATTCCACCCCGATTCACTTCCGATACTATAGATGTTTTCACAACACCTTATCTATCCTTCCGATATCCACTCCAAATGTATTGGGCATAGAGAGACTCAGCATAATAGTACCAGGGTCATAGAGGAGTAAGCAAAAAGAATACTTCCATAGTGTAGTATGTCCAATATGTTTAATCAGAGAAATGCCAAAGAAAACACTCACATGTGACATATGGGAAACCGCGGGCTGTACATTTGGACCATGTGAGTGTTTTCTTTGGCATTTCTCTGATTAAACATATTGGACATACTATACTATAGCCAGTGGTACAGGAGGTCTTTTGTTTTGCACATTGATTGATTTGAAGCACCAGTCACCTTCACTCTCTAAATATTTATGTATTGAATATTTTTTATATATTTATTAATTTTTGTTTGCACATCTGTTTGGAGCACTGTTCACTTTATTATATATATTATTTATTATGTATTTATTTTTATTTATCTATTTAGTTTAATTAGTTTGTTACCCTCATGGCTGAGCGCTTCATCCACTATTAGATAGACTGCAGTGTAAACCCTCAAAAGCAGTATCAAAGTTGCATCTGAAAATTAAACACGCAACAGTTGCCCTTTAATGAAAGCCAAAGTCATATCCAAGTTGCACCCTTTCAACATTGCGTAAAAGTTGCATCAAAGTTGCATCATAGTTGTGTCAAAATTGCATCATAGTTGCATCAAAGTTGCATCATACTTGTGTCAAAGTTGCATCAAAGTTGTGTCAAAGTTGCAACAAAGTTGTATAAAAGTTGTGTCAAAGTTGCATCAAAATTGTATAAAAGTTGTGTCAAAGTTGCATCAAAGTTGTATAAAAGTTGTGTCAAAGTTGTATAAAAGTTGCGTCAAAATTGAGTCAAAGTTGCAATAAAGATGTATAAAAGTTGTGTCAAAGTTATTATTATACAGGATTTATATAGCGCCAACAGTTTGCTCAGCGCTGTACATTATAATGGGAGACAGTACACGAGACAGTACACTAACAATACGATTCAATACACGAGGGGTTCGAGGGCCCTTCTCCTTGGAGCTTACAATCTAGGAGGGAATGGATAGTGGTACAGGAGGAAATAGCTGTGGGGGATGGAGTGGTAGGAAGAGTGGAGGAGTTCAGTAATTAGCTGAGGGCGGGGTAGGCTTCCCTGAAGAGATGGGTTTTCAGGGTGCGCCTAAAGGTGAGGAGAGTAGGTGATAGTCTGATGGATTGGGGTTGGGAGTTCCAGAGGATGGGGGAAGCCCTGGAGAAGTCCCGGAGACAGGCATGGGAGGAGGAAACCAGGGAACTAGAGAGTTGAAGGTCTTGTGAGGAGCGGAGAGAGTATGTTTTGGGTGGTATTTGGATACCAGATCAGTGAGGTAGTTTGGGGCAGTATTATGAACAGCTTTATACGTCAGTGTTAGGATTTAGAATTTTCTCCGTTGGACAATCGGAAGCCAGTGGAGGGATTGGCAGAAGGGGGTGGTAGATACGGAGCGGTTAGTAAGGTGGATGAGTCTGGCCGCAGTATTCAGGATCGACTGAAGCGGGGATAGCCTGCGGTGAGGTAAGCCGATGAGGAGGGAGTTACAGTAGTCAAGGCGTGATATGATGAGGGAGTGAATGAGTTGCTTAGTAGTTTCCGGGGGTTAGGAACAGACGTATATTGGAGATGTTTCGGAGGTGAAGTCTACATGAATTTGTCAGCGAATGGTCCTAGGGCTGGATGGACAGATTGGAGTCTAGGATGACACCTAGTACTCTGGCTTGAGGGGAGGGACTGATGGTGGTGTTGTTGGTCGGGGGGGGGGGGGCGTGGGCTGGGGGGAAAACTAGGAGCTCGGTTTTGGAAAGATTTAGTTTGAGAAAGTGGAGTGACATCCAATCTGATATGTCACTCAGTAGGCTTGTGATATGGGTGGAGACTGAAGGGGTGAGGTGCGGGGTTGATAGAGAGATTTGCGTGTCGTTGGCATAGAGATGGTAGTTGAAGCCGTGAGATTGGCCAAGGGAGGAGGTGTAGATGGAGAAGAGCAGGGGCCCGAGGACAGAACCTTGAGGGACCCCAACAGAGAGGGGGAGTGAAGAGGAGGTGGCAGCATTATAAGTAACACTGAAGGGGCGCTGCGATAGATAGGAAGAGAGCCAGGAGAGTGCGGAGTCTCTGAGGCCAAGAGAGTGTAGTTTTTTTTTGAGGAGGAGGGGGTGGTCAACTGTGTCGAAAGCCGCAGAGAGGTCGAGGAGTAGGAGTACTAAATAGTGGCAATTAGCTTTGGCAGTTAGCAGGTCGTTGGTGAGTTTGAATAGGGCAGTTTCGGTGGAGTGTAGGGGACGGAAGCCAGACTGTAGGGGATCGAGGAGGTTGTTGTCGTTGAGGTGGGAACTCAGGCGATTATAGACTAAGCACTCTAGGAGTTTGGATGTGAATGGCAGGAGGGAGATGAGTCTAAGCTTGTTCAGGTCGGTGGTTGTGTCAAAGTTGTGTCAAAGTTGTATAAAAGTTTTGTCAAAGTTGTGTCAAAGTTGTATAAAAGTTATGTCAAAGTTGTGTCAAAGTTGTATAAAAGTTTTGTCAAAGTTGTGTCAAATTTATGTCAAAGTTGTGCAAAAGTTTTGTCAAAGTTGTGTCAAAGTTGTGTCAAAGTTGTGTCAAAGTTATGTCAAAGTTGTATAAAAGTTTTGTCAAAGTTGTGTCACAGTTGTGTCACAGTTGTGTCAAAGTTTTGTCAAAGTTGCGTAAAAGTTTTGTCAAAGTTGTGTCAAAGTCGTGTCAAAGTTGTGTCAAAGTTATATAAAAGTTGTGTCAAAGTTGCGTCAAAGTTGTGTGTCAAAAGTTTGTGTCAAAAGTTGTGTCAAAGTTGTGTCAAAGTTGCGTCAAAGTTTTGTCAAAGTTGTGTCAAAGTTGCGTTAAAGTTGTATAAAAGTTGTGTCAAAGTTATATAAACGTTTTGTCAAAGTTGCGTTAAAGTTGTGTCAAAAGTTGTGTCAAAGTTGTATAAAAGTTGTGTCAAAGTTGCATCAAAGTTGTATAAAAGTTGTGTCAAATTTGTATAAAAGTTGTGTCAAAGTTATATAAAAGTTTTGTCAAAGTTGCATCAAAGTTGTATAAAAGTTGTGTCAAAGTTATATAAAAGTTTTGTCAAAGTTGCATCAAAGTTGTGTCAAAATTGTGTAGCAATTGTGCACACAGAGATGGACGCGGTCATCCATCTTGCTAAGGATCCTCCATCTTGTATCTCTCTCCCTCCTCCAATACCCCCTCCCTCTCTATTGAGTGACACGTGGTCCCTGTGCTCTAGGGTTCAGAAGTGCACAGGCAATCAGGCACAGTGGGACAGCTTCTTGGTTATAAATCCCAAACTAGCTAGTGCCCGGGTGTCTATTAGCTTCTCAATCTGAGATATCGTAAAGCCATAAACCAGTCCTTCACTGGGCTTCATAGACATTCCAGCTAGCTGTAAAACAGACTCACATTTAAAAATCCCCTTTTCCATATAATTTTATATCTGGAGATATGAAAGACTTACAAGGAAACCAGGCATATAATCAGATCGGTCACTTTAATACAAGTCGCCCGATATCTTACACCCCCTAGCTGAGTCTACAGGAGAGCAGAAAGCCATATAGTTCTAGCTGAAATATTGAATTATGGCATGTTTAATATCTAGACGTTCAGCAGATGATTCTGCTTATTAATCTACTAGTGGCTAGGCTGCTACATGCACCGAGTGTAGGTTATTGATCATGATATGAACTGCGAGGGATTTTGATTCTAGCTTGGGTCTCCACCTAAACACCACTCCCCAAATGAGGCAATTGGTTCTCTGCTTTAAGGAGACACCCTGCTGGGCTCCTAGAAAAAGGCTGTTTATGCTTGGAGCTGAGCTAAGTTGAAGAATCCTCCCTTTTAACATCGGAACCAACTTGGGAGACGTCCCTTTTGCTCTGAAACTTGATCTGCTTAACCCAGGACTTTTGGCAAGTACTCAACATCTCTAAACTTCTTTCTGTTATCTACCTGTTGTGTTATTGCTCTATGTATATATATATATATATATATATATATATTATATATTATATATATATATTTTTATATATATATATTGGCTACATCTTTTCTGTAAATATTTTTATTGCACCATTTTTGAGCTGTTTAGTAATAAATCCTATTTTCTGAAAAGTGTTGAACTGTTTCTAAAGCTCTTTAATGCAAGCTAAGAATCCCTGTCTCTGAAGAACGCTACTGTGTGTTTTTAAACCTCTATATACATCTGCCTGCGGTGACAGTGGTATACAGACGATTATTCAAACATCATAGTGTTATTGCTAATATTGCTGAGTTTCCTCTTTCTCTGTACAAAAAGGAGGTGGTGGCAGTGTGAAGGGTTAATTGCGTAATAATAATATAAAAGTTGTATAAAAGTATCAAATTTGTTTCAAAGTTGTTTCAAAGTTGTTTCGAAGTTGTCAAAGTTGTATAAAAGTTGTATAAAAGTTGTCAAAGTTGTATAAAAGTTGTATGAAAGTGGTATAAAAGTTGTATGAAAGTGGTATAAAAGTTGTCAAAGTTGTATAAAAGTTGTATAAAAGTTGTCAAGTTGTATAAAAGTTGTATAAAAGTTGTCAAAGTTGTATGAAAGTTGTACAAAAGTTGTCAAAGTTGTATGAAAGTTGTCAAAGTTGTATGAAAGTTGTAGAAAAGTTGTCAAAGTTGTATGAAAGTTGTATAAAAGTTGTCAAAGTTGTATAAAAGTTGTCAAAGTTGTATGAAAGTTGTATAAAAGTTGTCAAAGTTGTATAAAAGTTGTCAAACTTGTATGAAAGTTGTATAAATGTTATCAAACTTGTATGAAAGTTGTATAAAAGTTGTATAAAATTTGTCAAAGTTGTATAAAAGTTGTCAAAGTTGTATGAAAGTTGTATAAAAAAGTTGTCAAAGTTGTATGAAAGTTGTATAAAATTTGTCAAAGCTGTATAAAAGTTGTCAAAGTTGTATGAAAGTTGTCAAAGTTGTATGAAAGTTGTATAAAAGTTGTCAAAGTTGTAAAAAAGTTTTATAAAAGTTGTCAAAGTTGTATGAAAGTTGTATAAAAGTTGTCAAAGTTGTATGAAAGTTGTATAAAATTTGTCAAAGTTGTATAAAAGTTGTCAAAGTTGTATGAAAGTTGTAAAAGTTGTATGAAAGTTATATAAAAGTTGTCAAAGTTGTATAAAAGTTGTCAAAGTTGTATAAAAGTTGTATAAAAGGTGTCAAAGTTGTATAAAAGTTGTCAAAGTTGTATGAAAGTTGTATAAAAGTTGTCAAAGTTGTATAAAAGTTGTATAAAAGTTGTCAAAGTTGTATATAAGTTGTCAAAGTTGTATAAAAGTTGTCTAAAAGTTGTCAAAGTTGTCTAAAAGTTGTATAAAAGTTGTCAAAGTTGTATAAAAGTTGTCAAAGTTGTATGAAAATTGTATAAAAGTTGTCAAAGTTGTATAAAAGTTGTCAAAGTTGTGTAAAAGTTGTCAAAGTTGTATAAAAGTTGTCTAAAAATTGTGAAAGTTGTCTAAAAGTTGTCTAAAAGTTGTCAAAGTTGTATATAACTTGTTAAAGTTGTATAAAAGTTGTCAAAGTTGTATAAAAGTTGTCAAAGATGTATGAAAGTTGTATAAAAGTTGTACTCTACCTCTCTAAACTTCTTTCTGTTATTTCCCTGTTGTGTTATTGCTCTCTGTATATGTATATATATATATTCCAATATATATATATATATATATATATAGGCTACATCTGTTTTTCTGCAAATATTTTTATTGCACCATTTTTGAGCTGTTTAGTAATAAATCCTATTTTCTGAAAAGTGTTGAACTGTTTCTAAAGCTCTTTAATGCAAGCTAAGAATCCCTGTCTCTGAAGAACACTACTGTGTGTTTTTTAAACCTCTATATACATCTTCCTGCGGGTGACAGTGGTATACAGACGATTATTCAAACATCATAGTGTTATTGCTAATATTGCCAAGTTTCCTCTTTCTCTGTACAAAAAGGAGGTGGTGGCAGTGTGAAGGGTTAATTGCGTAATTAACCTGACCCAGTAACAATCGCTCTCAGACTGCGGCACATAGATTGTGGTCCAGTGAGCTGGAAAATCTTTGTGCAGGGTGCAGCTGAGTTGTCAAAGTTGTATAAAAGTTGTATGAAATTTGTATGAAAGTTGTCAAAGTTGTATCAAAGTTGTATAAAAGTTGTATGAAAGTTGTCAAAGTTGTATCAAAGTTGTATGAAAGTTGCGTCAAAGTTGCATTCCAAAATTGGAGTTGTACAAATGTGAATAGAGCCTTAAGCCAACCATACACGGGTCGAATTCCAAAAGAATTGTCTTTCGAAAATCATTTCTAAGAATTTTCGTTCGAATGTCGCACCATTAATGGTGGTCACAGAAACAACAATTTTTGTGTGACCATCGAATTTGAGTGATCGGGCACGTTGGAAATTTTTTGAAGAACAAACAAATTTCGAATCATTGATGGGAGAATCGTGCGGGAAATATAAATGAAAAAGAAATGAGCTGTGACCTGGAAAAAAAAGAAAATTCTTGGCCACGAAAATTCTTTTCTGTAGCAACATGATGGGAAATTGAAGGCTTGGTTGGTTGAATTTTTAAATCAATGGTGGCACCATCGGGTTACAAAACGCACAAAATTTCTGATTTTCTAAAGAAAATTTGTTCATAATTCGACCCGCATATGGCCTGCATACGTGTAGTTGAGAGAAGATCTATGACCGGGTGCTGCAATGTTTTCAGAAAGCGATGTACAGGGTGGGGCAGACTCCATGAACCACTTGTTCTTCTTTCTGCCATTATCGTCATCATGAAGAGTTCAGATAAGTGACCATGTCATGAAGTTCTCCAGAATCTCATCTGTTGGTTATATTCGTTCTATTTCTCCTGAAAGCTTCTTACCGAAACTTTTTATCAACAGAACCCAAAACGAGAGATCCAAAAGGTGATGACATTCTTAGGGAAGAACCTCTCAGAAGAAGTGTTGGATACAATTTGCCACCACACCACTTTCAAAGCCATGAAGGAAAACCCAATGGCAAATTATTCCACCGTTCCAAATATGCTGCTGGACCAGACTCTCTCGCCCTTCATGAGGAAAGGTGGGAATGCTTTGAAAATGGTTAAGGCTGCCCATAGATTATACAATTTTCTTGAGAATTTTGCTTTAGATTTACCAAAAACCATATAATATGAGGTGAAACCTAAACAATAGTAGAATGTTATTTAGAAAAGCGCCACACCCTTAATTAATATAGCAGCAACTCCAAAACCCCAAAATTATTATATAATCTTGGTCAAAATGAATTTTACTATAGGAATGCGCTGAAAACAAAAAAAATTTCAATAAAACTGTGCATGAATCAGTGTATATATATATATATATATATATATATATATATATATATATAATTTATTTATTGAAATATATTGAATATGGCCAAAATTGTAGTATATGTCAATGTATTTGGGAAGAATATTTTTTAAATATATTTCAAATATATTTTTCTTCCATGTGGGTATTAAGCATAAGGCTGGCCATACACTATACAATTTTCTGTCCAAATTCTGCCCAAATTCCTTTAGATTTACCTTCAACTATGTAGTGTGAGGGCCTAACTGGATACAATTGAAAGTGTTGTTTAGGTTTGAATTTAACTATAGGAATGCGCTGAAAACAAAAAAACTTCAATAAACTGTGCATGAATCAGTGTAAGATCAAACAAAACATTTCACAAATAAATAATTAAATAAATCATAAAGTGTTCAAATAATCAATATGTGAAAGTCCAAAGTCCCACAATATAAATTTGAAACCACCATGTGTAATCCACCACCAATTAAAGTTGGGTGACTCAGCAGAGCTATATGCTGATCAATTCATAGACCAGCATAGGTGCTATTGCTCTGGGAGCGATGGATATTCCAATTCCGGATGTAGGGTGCAATATTCTGCAGTATTGAATCCCTTAGGATGAAAAACGCCACTCTGTGTCAAAGATTGATTCCAGATAATCATGAAACAACTCTCCACAACCTCTCTCTCCTAGATGGATATACGGATTCTCCTATAACCCTGTTCTCCATAGGCATTGGGACCATGTTCAAAGGCAAAGAAAAAGGAATGATAGTGCAGCGTGTTTTTAAAACCAAACACAATTTAATATAATAACACACTTACAAACAAGGTGTCTAAACCGACACCAGCATCACGGGCATAGGTATAAAATCACTTGCACCGCTCACCGTGGATCATCTCCGACCGACACAGGAGAGGTGTCCCAACGTCTGCATTCAGCTGGCCATGTCCTACGCGTTTCGTCACAACGTCCTCACATCCGTTCTTTCATTTTTCATTTTTCATCTTTCTATTAGATAAAAGACTCTCTCTATCTCTTCTATCAATAACTTCTCTTTCAGCCACCAAAAAGGATCTCCTATAACCCTTGTCAACAAATCTGTCTATCAATAATTCAGTTTGATCAAAAAAATCACCCTGTAAACTGCAATTTCTTTTTATTCTTGTAAATTGACTTCTAGGGGTATTGAAGAACCATCTTGGATGGTGTCCACTAGATATCGGGATATAACTGTTTTTATCAATGTCTTTAAAAAAAAGACTTAGTAAAAATATGGCCTCCATATTTATATAATGTCAAATCTAAAAAATTCACACTTTCAAACCCACTCATTACCGTAAATCTTAAACCATATTGATTTTCATTGATGCTATTTAAAAATCTATTAAGATCTTCTATTGAACCTCTCCAAATCATTACGTTATCATCTATATAGCGCCTGTATAGGACCATTGCTGGCCATTTGTCAAAAATGCACTCTTCCTCCCATTTGTCCATTACAATATTAGCTACACTAGGGGCATATTTGGCTCTCATCGCAACACCCCTGCATTGCTGAAAAAAGGTATTATTATACCAGAAAAAATTATTCAACATAGCAAACTCTAATAATTCAACAAAAAACCTTCTCTGAACCCTTTTAATCTTAGATTTATGTTTCAGTGCCCATTTGACTGCCCTAATTCCATCATCTTGATTAATATTAGTATACAAGAATTCAACATCTATTGTGACCAAAAAACAATCTTCAATACCTTCTATAGTTCTTAAAATATTAATTAATTCCCCACTATTCCTTAAAAAAGAACGATTATTTCTTACTATTGGTTGTAAAAATGAATCTATATATTCATATAGATGTTTTAAAATTAAAGGAAACAAATTTTTGGAAGTTTTTAAAAAAAAATGGCTGAGACTGATATTAAAAATATGGATTTAAAGAGTAAATATCATACCTCTCATGATGTAATACAGGGTATTAAAGAATTGGAAAAAAGGAAGGATATTGTTATTAGAGGGGCTGATAGGGAGGCAGTATTGTGATCTTAACTAAGAAAGATTATGAAAGAAAGATGGATAGGTTATTGTATATGAAAGATACATAGAAAATTTTGACATCGAATCCCACTAGAAAATTAAAAAATTGTTTGAAATATTTGATTACTAGAGGCAAAGATTTGGAAGTTTTGAATGAGAAAGAGGCAAGATATTTATATATCAAAAATCCAAAAATTCCCACGATATGTTATTTGCCCAAGTTACATAAGGATAAAAAGAATCCCCCGGGGAGACCGATTGTGAGTGGGATCGATTCTATTTTTGGAATTAAAATATCTATATGAATATATTAGTATACAAGGATTCGACATCTATTGTGACCAAAAAACAATCTTCAATACCTTCTATAGTTCTTAAAATATTAATTAATTCCCCACTATCCCTTAAAAAAGAACGATTATTTCTTACTATTGGTTGTAAAAATGAATCTATATATTCATATAGATATTTTAAAAATAAAGGAAAACTAATTTTTGGAAGTTTTTAAAATAATTAGAGATGAGGAATCGAACCAGGCGAAGTGGAATTCGTTTAGAATTTCAGGAAAAATTCGATTCGTGCGCGAATCGGATTTTTCCCGATCAGCCGGCAAAAGTGTCCCTGCAGAGAGCACCGCTATTTCTGACAGTTCTCTGACAGTTCCTTCACATGTACAGCGGTTGAAACATTGTATCTATTTGTTTCCATTTAGGATACAGATGTTTTTATTCGGAAACAGATACAATGTTTCAACCGCTGTAAATGTGAAGGAACTGTCAGAGAACTGTCAGAAATAGCGGAGCTCTCTGCAGGGACACTTTTTGCTGTACTGGAATACTTCTTCTTTTCATTCTTCTTTTCATTCTTCTCATTCTTCTTTTCATTCTTCTTTTTATTCTTCTTCTCATTCTTCTTTTCATTCTTCTTTTTCTTTTCATTCTTCTTTTCATTCTTCTCATTCTTCTTTTCTTCTTCATGAAAAGAGGAATGAGAAGAAGAATGAAAAATGAAGAATGAGAAGAATGAAAAGAAGAATAAAAAGAAGAAGAAGAATGAAAAGAAGAATGAGAAGAAGAATGAAAAGAAGAATGAGAAGAAGAATGAGAAGAATGAAAAGAAGAATGAGAAGAATGAAAAGAAAGAAGAAGAATGAAAAGAAGAATGAAAAGAAGAAGAAGAATCTTTTCATTATTCTCATCTTCTTTTCATTCTTCTTTTCATTCTTCTTCTTCTTCTTCTTCTTTTCATTCTTCTTCTTCTTTTCATTCTTCTTTTCATTCTTCTTCTTCTTCTTTTCTTCTTCTTCTTCTTCTTTTCATTCTTCTTTTCATTCTTCTTCTTCTTCTTTTCATTCTTCTCATTCTTCTTTTCATTCTTCTTCTTCTTTTCATTCTTCTTCTTCTTTTCCTTCTTCTTTTCATTCTTCTTCTTCTTTCTTTTCATTCTTCTTCTCATTCTTTTTCTTTTCATTCTTCTCATTCTTCTTTTCATTCTTTCTTTTCATTCTTCTTTTCATTCTTCTTCTCATTCTTCTTTTCATTCTTCTTCTTTTCATTCTTCTTTTCATTCTTCTCATTCTTCTTTTCTTCTTCATGAAAAGAAGAATGAGAAGAAGAATGAAAAGAAGAAGAAGAATGAAAGAAGAAGAATGAGAAGAAGAATGAGAAGAAGAATGAAAAGAAGAATGAAAAGAAGAATGAGAAGAAGAAAGATGAGAAGAAGAATGAAGAAGAAGAATGAGAAGAATGAAAAGAAGAATGAGAAGAATGAAAAGAAGAAGAAAATGAAAAGAAGAAGAAGAAGAATGAAAAGAAAAAGAAGAATGAAAAGAAGAATGAAAAGAAGAAGAAGAATAATCTTTTCATTCTTCTCATTCTTCTTTTCATTCATCTTTTCATTCTTTTTCTTCTTCTTCATTCTTCTTTTCATTCTTCTTTTCATTCTTCTTCTTCTTCTTTTCATTCTTCTCATTCTTCTTCTCATTATATGTATGGAGCGCTGTATGGAGTGAATGTCAGAGAACTGTCAGAAATAGCGGAGCTCTGCAGATACACTTAGCGGAGCCCTGCAGATACACTTTTTGCCGGCTTGGAATTCTTCTTATTTTCATCCTACTTCTTCTTCTTCTTCTTCTTCTTCATCCTCATCCTCATCTTTCTTCTGAGGATGAGGATGAGGATGAAGAAGAAGAAGAAGAAGTAGGATGAAATATAAGAAGAATTCCAAGCCGGCAAAAAGAAGTGTATCTGCAGAGCTCAGCGGTTGAAACATTGTATCTATTTGTTTCCTTTTATGGAAACAAATAGATACAATGTTTCAACCGCTGTAAATGTGAATGTCAGAGAACTGTCAGAAATAGAGGAGCTCTGCAGATACACTTAGCGGAGCTCTGCAGATACACTTTTTGCCGGTTTGGAATTCTTCTTATTTTCATCATCCTTCTCCTTCTTCTCATCCTTCTTCTTCTTCTCATCCTTCTTCTTCTTCTCATCTTTCTCCTTCTTCTCATCCTTCTTCTTCTTCTCATCCTTCTTCTTCTTCTCATCCTTCTCCTTCTTCTTCTCATCCTTCTCCTTCTTCTTCTCATCCTTCTCCTTCTTCTTCTTCATCCTTCTCCTTCTTCTTCTCATCCTTCTCCTTCTTCTTCTCATCCTTCTTCTTCTTCTCATCCTTCTTCTTCTTCTCTCATCCTTCTTCTTCTTCTC